GCTGGAGTACCATCCTGAAAGAATCCAGTCTTACGGATGTTGAACTCATTAATCAAATTAAATTTGGTATCCCATATTTTGATGTACTCATCTTCTCCACAAGTTATGATAACAACCTTATCTCCCAATATTTAGGATATCTTCAAACAATTGATCATCTTTTGATGTGCTCTAAACAAATATTAGTATAATAATTACCTCTCTTTCACGACTATGTATTTGCCACAGGAAACCAAAGCCAGATCTCCAAAGTTATTGCCCACAATGATGTCACTTTCTACTTTATCACTTAAGAGATAGGAGATGTAACTTAAGCAGGTGATGAAACAACCATTAGAATACTTGACTTCATCTGATAATATGACTTGACTTCTAATCAGGTTTCTCCCTTGTAATGACCATATGGTGATATTCTAGTATCCACAAGTAGCAAACTCATATCGATTGTATGGGTTGAACATAACACAGCAGATTGGGAATGTCCCTGAATTTCGAAATGCTATAATAGTTTCATTCTTCCAAGATGTCACTTAGACTGAATAGGTTTCATCTATGCCTATACTGACTATAAATAAGGAATCTCTGGAGAACACCAAGTCGTAGATACCATTCTTATGATTAGTTCTGATGATTTTGACTGGTTCAGTGTTGAACACATTCCAAACGTGAATGCAAGGTCTAGGAGCACTTTCACCTGTGGCCACAAAACACTTTAATGGATGAATGGCTAGACAAGTGATTTTGAATCTGTGTCCTTCGTAGAACTTCTGTTGATTGTTCAATGGATTATAGACAACTGCAATTCTAGAAGTGATGTAAACGAAGTGTCTTTAGCAATCATTATGAGAATCATCGTAAGGTAATAAGGCTTACTTGGCTAATAGCATTTCTTTCTGGAATTAGACAGGTAACATAATACTTTACTAATTCATTTACTCCATTCGCTTTCGTTATTCTGATTTCAAATCTGATTGTTGTTGTCCTCCTCTCCTCTTCTTTTCTTATTTATTGTAGAAGTGAACATAGAAGAGTGTTCTCCTTTTATCGTATGCTAAGAATCCGTAGATGTAATCAAGAGTTAAAGACAAAGGAGGTGCTCGTTTCATGACATGTTGTTTCTTATCGAAGGGTGGAATCAGTTCTTGTGGAGTAATCCATTTAACATCTTTTGATTGGTGGCTCTGAATTGAACAAAATTGTCTCTGAATTTGTCAGATATATTGTTGAGGAAAAAGCAATAATCTTTTTCTCTTTTGAAGATTTCATCGATGGTTTAATTGAAATCCTACTTATTGGAAGCCATGGAGAAATTATTGAGTCCAGGTTTGTTGATTTGTAACTTATCATCCTACTAGAATGGCTTAGAGAAATCAGCCAGATCATTGATAAAATCTATCTTCCATTCAATCAATGTGTTATCATTGGTTCCAACCGTGTAAAATACATCCTATGATTTGGTCATTTGTAATCTACTCACATTGCTAGCATGTCCTCTCAAGAATCCACCACAATTAGTTTCCAATTATTCTCGATCTCTCCAAAAGTACACATATCCACCCTCTCCTGCAGCCAAAGAATATCTTCACATCACCTCCAATCAAGAGTGGCAAATACTGTTCCTTCTTTGAATTCTGATTACTACTTGAACTCAGAGGATATCGTATAACCCAAGTGGTTGAATTCAATTTCTCATTTTCCTATAACAAATTTTTGGATTTCAAATCAGGCAATTCTATCTTGTATTGATTCTTCATTGTAGTACCAACAATAAATGCTTTGCAATCATCCACGAAATCCAAACATATTGGAAACTCCCCTTCAAAATGGATCTTCTTTGGAGCAGTCTAAAAATATGATGTGTTGTTCAAAAAGAACACATAAACAAATGCATCCTAAACTGCACAGACTAAACAAGAAGTATCTGATGAAAATTTCAAATCATTCACTTAATGTTTGCAATCATACCATCTAGGTGATTCTTCCCAATCCAATCTCAAATACACTTTGCCTGATACTGTTCCTAATGCAAACACTGCTCCTCCATCTTCAAAATTAATACAATCCATCGATGATATCTAATCTCCAATAGTCCACACATCCACAATTTCATGAGTCTCCAATGAGAATCCATACACTGTTGATTATGATCCTGCACAAAATACCAAATTTGTCGTCACTGTCTGGTCTCTCCAATATACACAATGCCTACGAGGTTCCACTCAATTGAATGATATAATTGATCCTATTTGCTCTTAATTTATTCACAAATGAATTGCTAGAGTGTTCTTGTTTCTGTTGTAAAAAGATCTCCACTACATCTCCTTCTGTTGAAGCCACCAATAATTTATCACCTGCCACCACTATGTCACTTATAACATAACTAAACAATTTGAAACTAAATGCTGTCAAATCTATATTCTTTATATTATTCTTGAATTTGAAATCCCACAAATGGATAGTACTGGCATCCGTCCCAATTATTATCCCAAATTGATAACTGGTTATGCACACTATCTGATCCTTATATGTGGTCATCAAATCCATCCTCTCAAAGTTCTCCCACAAAATCACCGCTCCATTCTAATGTCCTGATATTATCACTATGGCTTCTCCCTCCTCAGCCTGATAAGCCTTTAAATAGGGATCTCTAGAATATATTCTTAGAGCAGTTGCACAAGTTAGAGGTGATGTCAAATTATATTCCTCCAACTGAATTTCTTTAGTTAAAAAATGTCCATCGTAATATTGAAATTGAATAATCTGGTAAATTGTACACACCACAAAAGAGTTCTCGTACTTCTTGAATGGATTCAATAAACTCTGTTGATTTATTTATTGCTATCGATATTGAGCACCTCCAAATGATCCAATAAAGTTCTTTATGGTCAATAAATCCACTGCAAATTCATTCACCTATGTTGATAGCACCAATGTGAAATCCTTAATATTATAAATCAAAATGGGAGAAGCCACTCTTATTCCACATGATGCTAACAACTCATCATTACCAAAGAAGGTCAACAAATGAACACCCTTCTAATGAACACCCTTTATCACTCCAATATTATGCAATGTATTGTTATCCCATATGTGAATAGCTGGTTACTCAGCGTATTCTCCACTGGCCATCAGACTCAGATTATTGGCCACTGCCACACTTATCACTTCACTCTCGTGTTCTAAATAATGGCGTTGCTCATTTATTTTTGGGTAATACACTATTATTATACAGGCTGTAAAGAATATCATCTTCTCATTTAATGCCGTATCAGTGTTAGATTGCATCTTTATATAGAGCAATGGCCTCTTCACGTCCTTGCCTCTAAATCCATAAACCCAATTCATTTTAGCATAGACGTCTTTCTAAAATACTTGTGGCTAAGGAGCATACACCTTTTTAGCCAAACTGCTTATCCATTAGATCTTTGAATGGTATGCCTTGGATGATAAAATTGACCTAAGAATACTTACTCATTTATACCCAAGACCTCTCTGATCAAAGTAGGGACGCTTGGAATCTGGCAATAAGAGTTTTTTACCAAACTCCTTGCTGAACACTTATCTTAGAACATCTATCTTCTGGCTGAGCTACTCTGTCTAGGCTGTTACTTTTAATTCTGGAGCTTCCTTCTTGATTAATTAGAGGAATTGTCGAATTTCGTCCGTCTTCACACACCATTTCAAAAACTAACTTATGTTTACTCTTTGATTGTCCGAAAAAAAATTACTTAAGAAATCCGAGATTTCTTCCTCATTTACCTCATTATTTATTTGCATTATTTTGAAGGTTGCATTTGCACATGACAACAACATAAAATCCAAATCAATCTTGATTTATCACATAATTCTTACTAAACTCAAAGAATTCAATTCATTGAAATCAAATAGATCAAATAAAAATCGCGCCTTTTCCTCGAAATTACTCTCTGCAAATATGATCAAACCTGAAAACAATTCCAATGCATTGATCAATCTACACATATTCATAACTATAATACCCATTGTTATCTGTATCCCATATTTAAAACATTGTCTCATTGCTTCCGAATATCTATTCGAACTCTGTCAAATCTATACTAAATGTATCGCAAACAGATTGAAAAGACCCATGATACTCACGTAATTTTGATATTGAGTTATTAAGTAATGGATTTGATTAGGGAGGTTATGCATTTTGTAAATGCCCTAAAAACTATCCCATTTTTTATTAATTATTAATTTATAATTATATACAATCAGAACCTTAATAACAATCAACATTACCAATTTCGCAATGCTATTCTAAAGTAACTCCCTCCCAGATTAATATTACCCTTGAAAATTAAAATATATATAACATTCTATAAGCTTTAACTTTTATTCATAATCTATAATACTAAGTAAATTAAGCAAATTTAATCACGCAATTTTTTCAATCATAAAATTATTTTATAAAAATGAATAAATCTTATTGTTCTTCACATGAATAAGAGGAATAAAAGTATATTTGTGTCCATCCTACTTGTCTTCAAAAGGCAGATAATAAGCTGTGTTGTAGTTGTTGTTTCCAATAAAATCATAGAGAAAAAAAGGCTGAATAACATAAAATTATAACATTGTCTGAACTTGAGAAAACAGCTCATGCAAATTATACAAGCTTGAAAGAACATCTGCTCAACGAAGTTAAGAAGAACTCAGAATTACATGCATAGATAGAAGAACAATTATCAGCTATTCTACTTTCTCTAACTAATTG